TTTTTTTGTTTGTCATGTTTTTTTTTTCATATATACATATTCATTTTCTTTTCACGCATCTTTCCTTCGCGGCACCAGTGCGGCGGCCGTCGGTGTAGCCTACTGCGCTGCATTGCCGCCTCTGCGGTGTCGATTTTGCCCCTGTGTGTGCTCTGTCTCATGCTATGCCTCTTCTTTCTCGCGGTTTATTCTTGTGCACTGCACTTCCTTTTTCGGTCGTTAGGTAACCCCGGACACGTCTCTATGTCTCACTGCAAGTTTGAACACCCTCGCCACGGCCACCTTGGCTTCCTGCCGCGCAAGCGCAGCCGGCAGATCCGCGGTCGCGCTCGCTCCTTCCCCAAGGACGACCCCTCGCAGAAGCCGCACCTCACCAGCTTCATGGTGTTCAAGGCCGGCATGACGCACATTGTGCGCGACGTCGACCGCCCTGGCTCCAAGGTGAACAAGAAGGAGGTTGTGGAGCCGGTGACGATCCTGGAGGCGCCGCCGATGGTGGTGGTGGGCATCGTCGGCTACCGCCAGACGCCTGTGGGGCACAAGACGATCGGCACCGTGTGGGCGCACCACACCAGCGTGGAATTCCGTCGCCGCTACTACAAGAACTGGAAGCAGTCTGCACAGCTGGCCTTCACGAAGCGCAAGCAGTTTGCTCGCACGACGGAGGGTCGTCTTGCCGAGGCGCGCACGCTGAAGGCCTTCGCCAAGAAGGCTGATACCATCCGCGTCGTTGCCCATACCCAGCTGCGCAAGCTGCGCAACAACCGGGTTGGCGTGAAGAAGGCGCACGTGAGCGAGATTCAGATCAACGGCGGCACCATTGCCGAGAAGATTGAGCTTGCCAAGTCGCTGCTTGAGAAGGAAGTCCGCATCGACTCTGTCTTCCAGCAGTCTGAGGCGTGCGACGTGTGCGCCGTGACGAAGGGTCACGGGTTCACTGGTGTTGTGAAGCGCTGGGGCGTTGCCTGCCTGCCGCGCAAGACCCACCGCGGTCTGCGCAAGGTGGCTTGCATTGGCGCGTGGCACCCTGCCCGCGTGATGTACACCGTCGCCCGCGCTGGTCAGCACGGTTACCACCACCGCACGCACCTCAACAAGAAGATCTACCAGCTGGGCCGCGCGGTGTCGATGGAGCCGAAGCAGGCCACGACCACGTACGACCTCACAGCCAAGACCATCACCCCGATGGGTGGCTTCGTGGGTTACGGTACGGTGCGCAACGACTACGTGATGCTGAAGGGTTCCGTCGCGGGCCCTCGCCGCCGCGTCATCACGCTGCGCCGCCCAATGGCCCCGCAGACGTCGCGCAAGCTTACGGAGCAGATTACGCTGAAGTTCATTGACACAAGCTCCAAGATTGGCCACGGCCGCTTCCAGACGAAGAAGGAGAAGAGCCAGTGGTACGGCCCGTGCAAGAAGGACCGCATCCGTCGTGAGGAGCGCGTTCGCAAGGAGCGTGCGGCCCGCGCTGCGGAGCGCAAGGCGAAGGGCGGTGCTACCACCGCCGCCGCCGCCCCAAAGAAGGCCAAGAAGTAGGCACAGCGGCCCCTGTGTAACCAATCCTCGCGAAGCCAACCTGTGTGTCGGGAAATACCATCTACGTTGTTTTTTTTTTGTTTTGTCATGTTTTTTTTTTCATATATACATATTCATTTTCTTTTCACGCATCTTTCCTTCGCGGCACCAGTGCGGCGGCCGTCGGTGTAGCCTACTGCGCTGCATTGCCGCCTCTGCGGTGTCGATTTTGCCCCTGTGTGTGCTCTGTCTCATGCTATGCCTCTTCTTTCTCGCGGTTTATTATTGTGCACTGCACTTCCTTTTTCGGTCGTTAGGTAACCCCGGACACGTCTCTATGTCTCACTGCAAGTTTGAACACCCTCGCCACGGCCACCTTGGCTTCCTGCCGCGCAAGCGCAGCCGGCAGATCCGCGGTCGCGCCCGCTCCTTCCCCAAGGACGACCCCTCGCAGAAGCCGCACCTCACCAGCTTCATGGTGTTCAAGGCCGGCATGACGCACATTGTGCGCGACGTCGACCGCCCTGGCTCCAAGGTGAACAAGAAGGAGGTTGTGGAGCCGGTGACGATCCTGGAGGCGCCGCCGA